AATAGCATGGTATGACATCCTGTAAGAGAAAGATATCATGGGCATGACCATCTGGAAAACAGTAACAATGTTTATTTCGTATATATTAACATATTATTTGCTTAATCTCTACAATTGCGTATAATCTTTGTTGCTATTTTCTGGATGACTGGGCAATTGTGATTATGGTCCGGTCGGTGATGGGCTTATATTGTTTATACACAATGTTCTAATTTATTGGATTCTCGTGAGATCTTGCATACGAATTCGTTGGTAATACTGCTGCAGAAACTAATATCCAGGAACTGTAATTAACCAAGTTATTTCTTGATTACTGCAATATTGAAATACCTCAAGTTAGGATACAAAAGAACGATTTTAACAGGCGAAGCATCACTAAAGACGGAAACTGCAATTCAATTTTCATATGCCGCAACCACAACTCGATCCAATTTTTATATGCCGCAATTAATCGAGGAACCATCTTTACGCATCGCTGGATCTTTTACTTAATTCGAAATATAGATAAAGTATATTTGGGCCTTAATTAATAATTTTCCAATTTTTCGATCCAAGAGTTCGGAATAATCTGTGATTTGAAGATTTATCATTGATTGATTCCACTATGAATATGAGAGTGCCTATCTCCAACCAATTCAATGGAATTGGTTCTAACAACTCTACTAGATTCAAAAGGTTAGATTACATCGCTGGGTATATACAAGTCTGAAAAATACTTGCCCAGGTATCTTGAGGCAATGATACTTACATATGCGATTTATTTATTCATCAGCTTGGACTAGCTTGCCAAACTCTGATCTAAAATTTGCTTCGTAATCCGCTTCATCCCAGCTAATTTTTTCTTTCGCATTGTCTCACAAATATCTGGTTTGGTTTTATCAGGGCACTGGATGAGAAATAAACATCCGAGTTTAGGAAGCACCACTTCTTGAGTAAATATGGCTCCTCAATTAATTGCGACAGGTTGCAACTAATTGTGGCACACAATAATTGAGTTGAAGTTGTGGAATATTACGGTTTCCATTTTAATAATTCACGAATTTCATTGGCTTTAATATAAATATTTTTAATTCGTGCGACATAAATAAAATGGGGACCCAACAAAAAGAATATAGATGGCCAAGGGATATATATTCTTTTGTAATTGGATCTTGTATAAGCGATTATCAAATAATCCTAGCTAAATCAGCTTTAGATAAGGGAAGATCCATATGCTTAATAAAGTATGTTATACAAAATCACGAACTTCTGCTCGATTTGCAATCTTGCATCTTAGAAAAAGCTATGCAGCGATCTGAAAGAAGCATACATATTAATAAAATAATTTAAAATATTCCGTGAATAATGTAATTTTTAATGCCATGCATAGTCTTATCTTTGCTATATCTTTCATTATTGCTATTTGCATCTTTTATACCATTTAACCAAGTAGCTTTGTATATAGTTGCAAACCCACCTTCACCTATCTTTTTAATATTTGTTAAATCATTATAAGGAATCCATTGAAGATGATAGTTATTATCATATCTTGTTGCTTTAAGTTGTGTACTTTTAATCAACTCATCTAATATTTCATTGCCACTAGTCCATCCTTCAGTTAACAACTTTGGATTGCATGATTGACACCATGAATAATCAGTATTATATCTTTTGCATGTTGGACATTCCCCATAATTTTCTTTTCTTTTAAAATATTCATCATTTTTGTCAGTAGAAGTATTGTCATGATGTTTATTTTCATCCAAAATGTTTTCCATTGTGGTTTTTGTATATTTGTAAAAAAAAATTTTTTTTTAAAGATCTTTTTTTTTTCAGCCACAAATATGTATCACAAAAAATATATTAATTAATATTAAATTTATTTAAAAATTTTTTGCCTGAACTACAACAATTCAACATTGACACCCTAAAGTCGTAAAACTGTAATAAATATTGCAAGCATGCAATCAGAGTTATTGGAGTCACCCAGATCTGGAAAACTAAATTAAAATCACTACATATAACTATACTGCTTGATTAAGGCTTCTATTTGAATAAGGGTTTATTCGAATTATTTGTTTTACTCGTTATTATTATGAATTTGAGTATTTGAATTACATTGAAAGTTTATTTGAATAAAATGAATAATGAATAATTTGATAATTTGATAATTCAAATAAACGAATAATTCAAATAAACAAACAAACAAATAAAATAAATAATTCAATTGTTAATTTAAATAAAACAAATAAATGAATAATAATAATTTGAATAATTTGAATAAACAAATAGTTCGAATAAACGATTCAATAATAAAATGAATAAACGAAATAAAATGAATAATTCAAGCAAAACAAATATTTGAATAAACCAATTCGAATAATAAACGAATGATGATGATAATAACAATTCGAATGATAAACGAATGATGTCAATTGAATAGTGTCAATTCGAATAATAATAATAAACGAATGATACAATTCGAATGATAAACGAATGACGTCATTTCGAATGATAAACGAATTAGAGGTTGGAATCGTCCAAAAAATCCTTAGTCGACTACTAGTTGGTCAAAATTTCTTTTAGTCGACTATTTAGTCGATTATTTTTAGTTAACTATTTAGTTGACTAAATTTTTTTAATACTAGCGTGTAACCATTTGCTTCGCAAAATGGTCACACACTAGTCACGGGAATAGCATCCTATTTAATTAGAATATTCATTCTGTTTCATTATTATTAACGTTTTTTTTTAATTTGCAGATTACAAATTCAT